TGGCTCAGCTCGACTGCCTGGTGAGGAGGAGGAGGAGGAGGATGAGGAGGAGCAGGAATGCCTTTGGGCTGGGGCTGGCAAGGGGAATGTGCCCCTGCTGCAGTGCAGGGGACAGAGGGGCCTTTCCCAGCTGCAGGGGGAGAAGGACAAGTGTCCCCTGCAAGGCCCTGTGTGCTCACCATGTGCTCCTTGCCTTGCCCTGCTGCCTGTGCCCCCCGTGCAGAACCGGGACAACTACATCCGCTCCTGCAAGCTGCTCCCCGACGGGCGCAGCCTGATCGTGGGGGGGGAGGCCAGCACCCTGTCCATCTGGGACCTGGCAGCCCCCACGCCCCGCATCAAGGCTGAGCTCACCTCCTCTGCCCCCGCCTGCTACGCCCTGGCCATCAGCCCTGACGCCAAAGTCTGCTTCTCCTGCTGCAGCGACGGCAACATCGTGGTGTGGGACCTGCAGAACCAGACCCTGGTCAGGTGAGACTGGGCCAGGGGCTGCAGGGCAGCACTGCTGGGGACTCCTCGGGCCAGGATCCCCTCATTGTCCCCTGCACCGTGTCCCTGCCTGTCCCTGGTCATGGCACAGTGCCTGTCCTTGCACTGCTGGCTGCTGCCCTGCCCATGCTCCGTGCTGCAGGTGCTGCCTGCCCTGCCAGCTGTGCCCTCTCCCTCTCCATCCCTCTCTTTCCCAGGCAGTTTCAAGGCCACACAGACGGTGCCAGCTGCATTGACATCTCCAACGATGGCACCAAGCTGTGGACAGGGGGCCTGGACAACACCGTGCGCTGCTGGGACCTGCGGGAGGGCCGGCAGCTGCAGCAGCACGACTTCAGCTCCCAGGTAGGGCTGGAGCCCCCTGGAGCCCCCTGGGCCAGCTGGCACCTGCTGCCGGGCCAGCCTGTGAGCCTGTGTGTCCCCTCAGATCTTCTCCCTGGGCTACTGCCCCATGGGAGAGTGGCTGGCCGTGGGCATGGAGAGCAGCAACGTGGAGATCCTGCACGTCACCAAACCCGACAAGTACCAGCTGCACCTCCACGAGAGCTGTGTCCTCTCTCTCAAATTCGCCTCCTGTGGTAGGCAAGGGCCCTTTTTTCTGCCTGGGCTGTGGATAGCCTCAGATTTATGCCTGTGGTTTATCCCCTGAATGGTGTCCCAGCTGCTGCCACCCATTCTGTCTCCTGTCCCAGGGAAGTGGTTTGTGAGCACGGGGAAGGACAACCTGCTCAACGCCTGGAGGGCGCCCTATGGAGCCAGCATCTTCCAGGTGGGCTCAGGAATCTGTGCAGGGGGATTGTGGTGGCTCCAGGCACCAGCCCTGCTCTCACCTCCTCCCCTCTCACTCAGTCTAAGGAGTCCTCGTCAGTCCTGAGCTGTGACATCTCTGTCAACGACAAATTCATCGTGACGGGCTCTGGTGACAAGAAGGCCACAGTGTATGAGGTGGTTTACTGACTGCTGTCACCATCAGCAATGGGGACACACCTTGCCCAATGCCACCATGGCTCACAGAGGCCTCCAGTGCTGGACCTGCCCTCCTGCAGCTCTACTTTCCCTCATCCTCCACTGCTGTCTGCACCAAACCAAGGCTCCAGCCCCATCTCCTGCCCTGGTTCCTGCAGGAGGTGAGGGCTGGGTGTAGCCTGGCACCTCCTGAGGCTGGGCAAGGGCTGGGCTGGGCATCCTGGGTTCTGTCTGTCCTGCAGGGAGCTGGACCGAGCCTGAGAGCCTGTGTCTCCTGAGTTACTGCTACTGACTTAACAGCACCCATTTTCTGCTGCACAAACAGCTGTAAATTATCAGTAAAGAAATGTATTTAAATATGTTTTCAATCCCTTACTAATAAAAATGAACAAAAGAAGGGTTGGGCCCGTTCTGAGCAGGGACTTTTGCCAGCCAGTGCTGCCAGCTGTGCCAAGGGCTGGGCTCTGAAGGGTGTCCTGGGGGGCTGATTTTGGCCAGCAGCACAGGAGGGGACGCTCCCAGCGGGGCAGAGGTGTGGCTGCTGGCCTGCAGCGCTCTGTGGTGCCTGCGGTGAGCTGTGGCTGGGGCAGGAGCCCGGAGCAGCTGCCACACCGCAGCCCTTGGCAGCCCCGGGCTCCTGGGAGCAGCCCTGCTCGCCCACGGCAGTGCTGGCAGGCGGCCACACCGATAAGGCAGGCGCTGAGTGCTCACATCTCATTTCCTTCACAAACCACTTCCTCCGGGGCTGGCCTCGCCTCTCCCCCGCACCCACAGAGCCCCAGGCTGCTCCACTGGGGCACGGCAGAGCCAGCACCACGCTGTGCCCACGCTGCTGCTCCAGCAGGGCCAGCGATGGGCTCTGCCCACCGAGGAGCCCCCTCAGACCCTCCTCAGCACAGCAAAGGAGCAGCACGTTGTGACCAAAAGGGACAAGGTTCCTGCTGTGGTGTCACCCCTTCCCACCTGGCTCCATCCCACCCACACAGAGCATCGAGGGTACTGCCCAGGACAAGGCACAGCTGCCTTTCTTTTTTTTTGTTTGTTTTTATTATTAAATACACCCTGGGAGGCACAGGGGGAAGGAAACCCAGAGCCCATCCACCCTGCCAAGCCCAGAGCCTTAAACAAATAAAAACCCCACAACAAAAAGTTTAAAAACCAAAAATAAAAAAAAGCACCCAAACAAAACCCCCTAACAACGCCAGACCTCCCCCCCTCATCTCCAACTCCCACAGTCTAGATTTAGAAAGAAACCCACAAAGAACAAAACAAGGAGAAAGTCCCCAGGAAATCCACCCCGAGCAGCAGCCTGCACCATGCCTGGCCACGGTGCCAGGGCCACCTCCACCCCTCTCCTCTCTCCTCCAGCTGGGATGCCACAGCCATGGCTGCACGTTCTTTGGGAAGTCAGCAGCAGGGCAGGTAGAGTCCACCTGTCCATCCCTGTGGACAGCTGCCTGTCCTGCAGTTGGCACCTCTGGGGCTCAGTAAATGATCTCATAAACTGTGGCTTTCTTGTCCCCTGAGCCCGTCACGATGAACTGATCGTCCGTGGAGATGTCACAGCTGAGGACTGAGGAGGTTTCCTTGGACTACAGAGAACAGGGGGAAGCACAAACAGCAGCCTCAGAGCAAGGTCCCAACCCTCCCCTTTCCTTGGGGAGGCTGCAGGGATGGGTTTATGGGGCTGGCACAGAATTAGAGCTGGGTTGTGCTGGGCAGCCTCAGCCCAGGAGCCCCCACCCTCACCTGGAAGATGCTGGCGCCGTAGGGCGTCCTCCAGGCGTTGAGCAGGTTGTCCTTCCCTGTGCTCACAAACCACTTCCCTGTGCAGGGAAAAAACAGCCTCGTGTCACCTCACCAGAGCCAGCAGCAGATCCAACACACAGAGAGAGGCAGCCAAGGGAACACAGAGAGGAGTTTGGTTCCAGCAGCCATCACTGCTCCAAAAGGGATGGATGGACACCCCTTCTCTGACCATCACCACCAGGACAGGGCTGGCTACCACTGGCTTGTTCCCAGTGCAACAAGCCCTGTGACACACAGGCAGAAGTAGAGGTGGCATCCATGAAGCTGCAGAGCAAGGGGAGCCAGGAGAAGTGTGCCTACCACAGGAGGCGAATTTGAGAGAGAGGACACAGCTCTCGTGGAGGTGCAGCTGGTACTTGTCGGGTTTGGTGACGTGCAGGATCTCCACGTTGCTGCTCTCCATGCCCACGGCCAGCCACTCTCCCATGGGGCAGTAGCCCAGGGAGAAGATCTGAGGGGACACACAGGCTCACAGGCTGGCCC